TGTAGGGTAGACCAGCGACAAAATGGATAAAAGTACCATCTTACATCGACAAATTATATAGCCCTTAAGTATTTCTTTATGCCGTTTCTATTTCGAGATACTCTGTATGCAGTGTGAGTTTGGTGCCCCTGTAGCCGTTATTCGCTGGACATCTGAGGGTAGATCAACGACAAAATGGATAAAAGTATCATTTTACGTCGACAAGTTATATAGTCCTTAAGTATTTCTCTATGCCATTTCTATTTCGGGATACAACAACGATCATTTTCATTGCCCTTTCATCAAAAATAAATAAAATAGTTTTTTTTGAGAACACATCCATGAAAGAGTTTTCGTTGGACAGTTTTGTTAGATTTAAAAGATATTACCATATTTGATGATTAAATTAAGTTTTCAGGTATTTCCTTAAAAATTAACATTTAATCACCCTGTATATCTAATTCTATCATCAAAAAGAGTGTGAATCTTATTTGGTAGATGTCGCTGGCAGTTACAGGAATAATTTAATTTTACTTTCACGAGAAGTTTGTGATGGCGTTAAAGTCATATGCATTTTTGACATTTGAATGGCAGTTACACTGTTATCAGTTGATGAGAAGTTGATAAACTGTGTGTGTGAGAGGTGGTGATGTGTTACTGGTGGTTCGTTTGTCCTGTGATAATTAACAAGCTACTTTAAATTGTTACAGTTAGAAAGGTTAGTGGAATTTTTTCTTATTACACACATCTTGTGGGATTATAACCCAAAAACGTGTCTACCAAACATACAACCTGTCTTTTGTGTAGTTTGAAATTACTGTGAAAACCTATGTTCGTTTAGTGAGTTGAATTTTATAAAACAAATAATTTTATGAATTGAAAAGGATGTTTTCGTAAATTAGAATTATTTGTAGAAATTTTAACAGCCCAATTTTATCAGTTAGTTGTGTTGATAGAGTTTTACTTGCCTATGAAGAATTGACAATGATTAGGTATTAATGAAAGTATTGTGAACTTTATTTTCNTGATTACAAAAATTAATCAATGTGGTATTTATTTTTAGCGACCTGATAGCATAAAAATTGTGAGAACACCGATAAGAGTTAAATAGTTATAAATTACCGGGATAAGCTTCATTCAACCCCAAATTATTTCTTGATAAATTAATTTCTCCCTTATTGAAAGAGCTTATTCTCAATTAAAAACGTCGTTTTCATTTCTTTATAAATTAATTTCCCTCTTATTAAAGCAGTTGAAAGTACAAAAGTTATTAAACATTTTAATTTTATGAAGGACATTTTTGCTCAAAAACTATCTAAATTAAGGCAATTCTACTTCTTTATATCATCTTTTGGGAAGATAAATTCTTTATTTCCTGCTTTTTAGAGCGACTCAATGAAAAGCATCTTATATTAAATTATTCATTTTTTATCTAATCTTATTTGAATCTTGTGAAGGATGGCGGGTAGTTGTCAAGATGTCAAGCGTCAAAAACTATTATTTTCGAATTTGACGTTTGTGGTTAGTTATGTGGTTATATTAAAATTAATTAAAGAAGAATTATATCTAGTCATGAACCATGATTTTATTATTTCATGCTGCATACTTCTTATTTAAGTTTCTTTTTAGAAATTATAAATGCTTCCAATTTCATAGGCAGAAATCAGCACTACTTGCTCTTCAGTGTACATGTTCCAGTTTTGAAAAAACCCAAGATGCTGAGAACAATTTACTGTTTGATCCTCCAGTTTATAAGCAGAGATATAGTGCAGTACAGCAAATTCTCTTGGATTATAGGTGGAAGAAATACATGAGAAAAGTAGTCGAATTTGGATGTGCTGAATTCAGAATGTTTATATATTTAAAGAACTTGTTGAGTATTGAGAAAGTCGTTTTTGTTGATATTGCAGAAGATATTTTAGTGGAGAATAGTTTTAAAATAAAACCTTTAACTATTGATTACTTAAAAAGAAGAGCAAATCCTTTGGTTGTGGATGTTTATGCTGGTAGTGTGTCATCACCTGATGCAAACTTATTGCATACTGATGCTGTTATTGCTATAGAATTGTAATTATCATTGTCTTTCTATGTCTCAATGCTGATTTTATTATTCAATTTTTGCAGGATTGAACATTTATATCCCGACACTTTGGATGCTCTACCTTACAATATTTTTGCATTTATGCAGCCAAAAATAGCTGTTTTTACTACTCCAAATGCTGATTTTAACATACTTTTTCCAAATTTTAAAAAGTTTAGACATTATGATCATAAATTTGAGTGGAGCAAAGAGCAGTTTCAATCATGGTGAGTTTTAATAGGTATATATTTTGTACAAAATAATAAGCTCATCATTTAACTGACTAGTGACACAATAATATAATTTGACCTGAGTTTTTTGTAATTTTACACAAAAAGTAAATTATTTATTAGTGATTTTTTCAAGAATTGAATATGCTTTGACTATATTTATATAGCTAAATACTTTCTAATTCTTTCTTTCCATTTTCTAAAATTTTGCGCTTTTCTTCCTCTTCTTTTTTTATATTAAGTTATAGTTTCATACTATTCCTTATTCATGACAATGATTTTAATCTTTAAAACTTAACATAACTTTTAGGGCAATCAATATCACCCATCGTTTTCCTCAATATACGGTTTATTTCGAAGATATTGGCTTTGGCCCTAAGGGTACTGAACATTTAGGGGCTTGTTCTCAAATGGCTGTGTTCGTGAAAAGTTCGTTGGTGTATGACTGGCCCTTTAATCGAGCATTATCTCGTTTTGACAAGTCATTTACATTGATTGATCAATCAATTGGAAGCACGGACAAAAATTCCCGAGTGAAATACACTTGTTATGAATCTTATGGTATTTGTACATATCAAAGTTATAGTGCTCCAATGTACGATTATGAAATTTTGCCAAAAATCTGTGATTACTCTGAAGGCAGCATTAGTCATTATGAAGACACATACTATAAATTTATCGAAAGTATCGAGTATCCTTACATCGCAGAAACAACTTCATCTGATGAGGTTTTAATGAATGAGATACTGTATAGTGTTCATCTTCTTGGAAGAGTAAATGGAAGATATTACAATAATGATAGGGAAAGGTCAGAGATTCCATTACTAGACATTGTCTGCAATCAGCAAAGATTTGTTACATCCATACCTGAAGTTAGGTGAGATTACTAATTTATTAAACAAAGTTCATTGCCAGATAAGTTCTTGGCTAATAACTTATCAAAATTAACAGACGTGTAACACGATTTCGATATCTCATCAGCACGCCACAGGCAGATTCAGTAGATGACTACATAACTAACTATGATGAATTTGGCTCAAACTAAAATGAATTTCACATCAATACTTGTTCTAACTAATCTTTACTCACCGTATCAACCCTTATTAAGAAATCGTTTTTAAGTAAAAAACGAATGTTGGAATTTATTTTATTGGTTTTTCAAATTCTCAGTAATAATCTATTAAAAGTATAAAACTCGGTAATTTTAGCAAAATCGTCGTAGTTAAAAAGTTTAGACAGTGGTCTATAACTTGTTAACATTTTCTTTAGTAAAGTACTACCATACTAAATGAATAGTAGCTAGGCTTTTACAGTCGATTCTGAAACCATTCTTTTTTTTTATTTTCGAATGTTATAATTTTCTGATTACAGGTGCTACGCCGTGTGTAATTGAATATACTTATAGATTACAGTTTTCATTATATGCAGTGTCATTTGTCAACTTTGTCAATCATCAAAATTTTAGTGTTTTTATCAAATCTCGACTTTTTTACATGTTCGTATTTTTTCAGTGCAGTACTCCAGAAAGCTGGCTATAAACTAGAATCATGTGTTGACTCTTTTACAAACGAAACGATACAATGTGTAATATATGAACCGGAAATGGAAGCGAACAGCTCTTCGTCGTATGCAGAAGAGTCTGATTATATTGGTGAGAGCGAATGGGAAAGTGTCGGAGAAAGCGAGAGAGGCTGGAATAGAGTTGACGATGGAGAGCAACAATTTATCGCAGACGCACAAATTAACGCAGAAAACGTAGTAGAAGAAATTATTAATAAAATAGATGATGTTAACAGTATACCGTCACAATCTTCAAGTGAATGGAACACTGAAGAAACCTGCACAAGTAAAGACACAACTAAAGAGTCGAGCCGTTGCAACTCAGATTTTTTAGATTTACAAACAAACGTTATAGAAATTGAGCAAGTAGTAGAAACTGGATGCAAGCATCCAAAAATCGAGATTCCATCAATTATTCGTAAAAAATACGAAAGTTCTCCTCTGTTAAAGACTAAATTGGAAGGACACTTAAAAATAGATATTACAAAAGAAAATAGCACCACTCTCAAAAATGGTTTGGTAAAAGATATAACAGTTCCTAAAAGAAATAAGGACGAGCCTAGAAATACAAGCGAAGATCCTTCTGCCACTGTAAAAAAAGGAAAAATTAAAGAGTGTGTCGATTTTAGTGGGGGGAGGAGGAGTCCATCACCAGATATCGAAGATGTAATAGTTCCCAGTGGCTCTAATGTTAAGCGTAGGAAGAAGCAGAAAAGAAATGCTGGAGAATGCCAATTAAATCGTAGAGAAGAGGATGACGAAATATTGAATGAACGGGTGAATGTTGATATTGTGAACGCCGAAGTCAATTTAATCAACGAACTGTTGGATCAGATGCCTCAGGCGGTTGTTGAAAATGGCGATTTGGTCAACAACAATAGGGATTTTGAAGGGAACAATTATCCTAATGCAGCCCGTGACGTCGAAGAAATACAAAACGAAGATAATGAAAATCAAAATAGAGGTACCTTGACGTTGTTTCTTTAATTTCACAAAATATAAGCATGCATTTATTATTAAATAATTTTTGTAGTGGAACATGTCGAAGAAAATGAAGTGCAACAAGACTTTGAAAACAGAAATGAAAATAACGATCGGCAGCCATTGAGGCTTAGAAACGAGGTTCAAGCTGTTCAGGATGCTGGGCGAGATGTTGGTGAAGGTGCAGAGGAGCTCCCAGAGGTGGAACAAGCTAGTAGGGATAGTGACACAATAATATAATTT